TATAATGGTATCATTTGCAGTGATTGTGTTCATGATTTTAACTTCTAACCATTTAGAATGTGAATCAATAACAATTAAGAACATTTTGTTCATGAAAGGTCCTGCGAAATCTATATGTATACGTTTCCATGGCTCGATTGGCCAGTCCCAGTTTTGCAAAGGTGCTGTAGCTGGTTGATTTGAATGTTGTGCACAGCTTGAACAAAGCTTTACATATTTTTCAATATCAGCATCCATATGTGGCCACCAGAACCATGATCTTGCTAGACTCTTCATTTTGGAAGAACCAAGATGAGTATCATGTAAAGTTCTTAAAACTTCTTTTTGTAACATTTTGGGGATAATTACTCTTGACCCCCATAGTATACATCCATCTTCTAGACTTAACTCTGTTTTTCTTATTTTATATGGCTTTAAGTCCTCATTCACTGACTCTTCAGGCCAACCATTTTTACAGTACTCATATACTTTTATTAAGCACTCATCTTTTTGTGTTTCTCTTTTAATATCATTCACATTTATATTGGAGTTATCCATGATAGTGAAGAGAACAAATACATCTTCTGGTACATAATTAAGGCTTTGGTTTTTTAAAGGTAATCTACTAAGACTATCTGCACTATTCTCAGATCCAGGTTTGTATTTCAATTCATAATTGTATGCAGTTAGTGTGATAGCCCATCTTTGAATTCTTGGTGAGGCATGCTCAGGTAGGGTTTTGTTTTCTCCAAATAAACCTAGCAATGGTTTATGACCTGTAAAGATGGTGAACTTCCTACCAAACAGAAACTTATGAAATTTCTTAACACCAAAATTGATGCCTAAGCCTTCCCTATCTAACTGAGAATAATTTTTCTCAGCCTGGTTCAAAGATCTACTGGCAAAAGCAATGGGTCTGTCACCCTTCTCATCCATGTGGGACAAGACTGCTCCTACACCATCTGGTGAAGCATCACATGTTAATATAAGTCTTTTCCCTGGGTCATAGTGAGTTAGTAAGGTGTCAGAAGACAAAGCCTCTTTTGCTGTATTAAAAGCAGTATCTTGTTGTTTACCCCAGTGCCAAGTTGCATTTTTCTGTAGCAGCTTGTACAGTGGTGATAGTTTACCAGACAGATTCCCTATGAACTTTGCATAGTAATTTATCAAGCCCAAAAAAGCTCTTAGTTGTTGGGTATTTTCAGGTTTGGGTGCTTCTTTAATGGCTTTTGTTTTCTCAGGTTGAGGTCTGATACCTTGCTTGCTTAATATATAACCAAGAAAACTAATTTCTGTCAGCATGAATTGACATTTATCTTTGTTTATCTTTAAACCTTTTTCATCAACTATTTTCAAGACTTTATCAAGTGTTTTAAGATGTTCAGTGTCATTCTTACCAGTTATGTACACATTGTCAAAGTACACACAAACATTTGGAATATCCTTAAAAATACTGTCCATGACAGCTTGGAAAATTCCAGGGCTGGATGATATGCCAAAACATAGTCTTTCATATTGGTAGAGTCCTTTATGTGTGTTTATTGTCGTATAGACTTTTGAATCTGGATGCAGTTCTAGTTGAGTGTAAGCATGACTAAAGTCTAATTCAGTGAATTTGTCTCCTCCTGCCAAATTCAAAGAAATTTCCTCAATGTTGGGAATAGGGTATCTATTTAGCTCTATTTGCTTATTCAGTGTAGCTTTGTATTCTCCACAAATTCTCACAGAACCATCCTTCTTTAACACTGGCACAATGGGCGTTGCCCAATCGGAATAGTCTACCTTCTTTATGATGCCATTAGATTCCAATCTACTTAGCTCATTTTCTATCTTATTCCTCATTGCATAAGGTGGAACTCTAGCTTTGCAGTATCTTGGATTTGTGTCTTTAATGCTTAACTTCACTGTTCTATCATTTAGTAAACCTGAATTGCCAAAAACACTTTTATTTTCAGATATTACTTTATCTAGTGAAGTAAGACTAGATTCTTTTCCATTGTTCAATGAACATATACTCTCCCAATTTAACTTAAGATCACTTAACCAGTTCCTACCTAGTAATGGTGGTCCATTTCCTTCAACCACAAGAAGAGGAAGTTTAACACTTTGACCATTATAACTTACATGAACCATACACTCTCCTATTACCGGAACATTGTCACCAGTGTATGTTGTTAGACACTTGTGACATGGCTGTAGAGGCACTGATCCTCCTGTGACAGCGTCAAAATCTTTCTTTGTTATGACTGTTAGAGATGCTCCAGTGTCAAGTTGGAAGCTGATGCTCTTACCGTTGATATTAACTAGTACATTGATGGGAGCATGACTTATTGATTTCACAGAGAACAGGTTGAAATCCGGCTGCGAATCAGTTTGAGCATTTTCACAGGTAGAGTGGTTCATTGGTTGGGTTAGGTAGTCTTGGTGAGAGTTAACATAGTGCTGCCTTTGGTTGCGGTACTGTCTTGACTGGCTAGATTTAGCAACAGACGAAGACTTTGCAAAGCAGGCCTTGGCAATGTGACCTTGCTTACCGCACTTATAACAAGTTGCAGACTTGAACTTGCACCGATGAGATGCATGGGGACCTTTGCATCGATGACATTTTTGATAATTATTACTAGATTTAGATCTAGGATTTGAACGTGCAGGCTGTTTAGCATAAGTTGAAATGCTCTGATGGGGTTGGTGTTTGTTGACTAACCTGCTGTTTACTGCATGGATCCCTGAAGGCGTAAGAGATTTCGCCGCATCTGATGACTGCTGGAATGAAGTTGCAAGTTGTATTGCTTTTTCTAATGTGAGATCTGACTCGAGCAGCAACTTTCTTTGAATATCAGGGCTGTTTACACCTGTCACAAACTTTTCACATAGTCTGTCAGACAGCGTATCTCCAAATTCACAAAATTTACTTAAATGACGTAAAGCAGCAACATATTCTAATATTGACTCGTTTGGTTGACGAGTCCTACTGTCAAATCTAGCTCTACATAGAAACTTTGATGGGGTAGGCGCATGGTGGTCTGTTAGCAATTTGCTCAGCTCGTTAAAGCTCTTGGTAGTTAGACTAGCTGGTGCGCATAAGTCCTTTAATAGCCTAAATTGTTGAGGCCCTATGACTGTTAACAAAACAGCTCTCTTTTTGGCTTCTATCGTCACGTTGTTTGCTTCAAGGTAAAAGCTTAACCTATCTAGGTAATCCTGAATGATTTCATCATTCGAATCAAATTCTTTTATTTGGCCATACAGCGCCATTATCCTAGAAATACTTAGCCAATATGCTCTAGCAAACCTCTTTTTTGCGTAAGTAGGTGCTCTTTCTAGTGGATTATTTATCCTTCGTCGCCAATGTGATAGATTGGAATCACTGACGAGAAGCCGCTTTGATTGTTAACAGTAGTTTATTCACACCTTGAGGCAAGAGAGAGAGAGAGAGGCGGAAGTGACGAGACACTAATTACAAAACATGTAAGGGACATCACTCAAGATAACAATATAAATATAATACTAATACAGAAGAGTGAGTTCCCCTGACCTCACAAATCCCAATATGTTACAATATACTCTCCCAATTTAACTTAAGATCAACTAACCAGTTCCTACCTAGTAATGGTGGTCCATTTCCTTCAACCACAAGAAGAGGAAGTTTAACACTTTGACCATTATAACTTACATGAACCATACACTCTCCTATTACCGGAACATTGTCACCAGTGTATGTTGTTAGACACTTGTGACATGGTTGTAGAGGCACTGATCCTCCTGTTACAGCGTCAAAGTCCTTCTTTGTGATGACTATTAGAGATGCTCCAGTGTCAAGTTGGAAGCTGATGCTCTTACCGTTGATATAAACTAGTACATTGATGGGAGCATGACTTATTGATTTCACAGAGAACAGGTTGAAATCCGGCTGCGAATCAGTTTGAGCATTTTTACAGGTAGAGTGGTTCATTGGTTGGGTTAGGTAGTCTTGGTGAGAGTTAACATAGTGCTGCCTTTGGTTGCGGTACTGTCTTGACTGGCTAGATTTAGCAACAGACGAAGACTTTGCAAAGCAGGCCTTGGCAATGTGACCTTGCTTACTGCACTTATAACAAGTTGCAGACTTGAACTTGCACCGATGAGATGCATGGGGACCTTTGCATCGATGACATTTTTGATAATTATTACTAGATTTAGATCTAGGATTTGAACGAGCAGGCTGTTTAGCATAAGTTGGAATGCTCTGATGGGGTTGGTGTTTATTGACTAACCTGCTGTTTACTGCATGGATCTCTGAAGGTGCTAGAGATCTCGCCGCATCGGATGACTGCTGGAATGAAGTTGCAAGTTGTATTGCTTTTTCTAATGTTAGATCTGACTCGAGAAGCAACTTTCTTTGAATATCAGGGCTGTTTACACCTGTCACAAACTTTTCACATAGTCTGTCAGACAGCGTGTCTCCGAATTCACAAAATTCACTTAAATGACGTAAAGCAGCAACATATTCTGATATTGACTCGTTTGGTTGACGAGTCCTACCGTCAAGTCTAGCTCTACATAGAAACTTTGATGGGGTCGGCGCATGGTGGTCTGTTAGCAATTTGCTCAGCTCGTTAAAGCTCTTGGTAGTTAGACTAGCTGGTGCGCATAAGTCCTTTAATAGCCTAAATTGTTGAGGCCCTATGACTGTTAACAAAACAGCTCTCTTTTTGGCTTCTATCGTCACGTTTTTTGCTTCAAGGTAAAAGCTTAACCTATCTAGGTAATCATGAATGCTTTCATCATTCCAATCAAATTCTTTTATTTGGCCATACAGCGCCATTATTCTAGAAATACTTAGCCAATATGCTCTAGCAAACCTCTTTTTTTGCGTAAGTAGGTGCTCTTTCTAGTGGATTATTTATCCTCGTCGCCAGATATAATAGATTAGGTATTCAACAACGGAGACAGAAGCCATCAGCATGTGTTGGGTTCTAGAATCTAGGGGTATATAAATAACAGACAAATACGACGTATACAACAATAACACTAACACTCTATAATAACAATAATAATAAGATATTTAATAATATATACAGTACTAAAATAATAAAAGGATCAAAAGGGGTCTACAACATAAATACAATACTCAACACCACGTTCCACGTTCCACGTCCACAGCCACACTACAACTAACTGATTCACACACTGGCACACGCTCTGACACCCGTCACCTGACACACCTCACGTGAACACCTCTCGCTCCATGTAAACACACTCAACCAAGGGATACAACTATACACCAAAGGGAGGGTACCTGTCGTTCCAGCACGCAACACACACACACACACACAAGCAGGGGACATGTAAGGGACGTAACATCCCTCCCCTCCACCTTCAGATCTCTTTTTCTTCAAAGAGATCAAATATTTCTTGTTCCATTAGCCACTGTTGGTGCCCGAGCTTGACTATTTATTCTTTAGTCCTTAGGAAGCCTCGTTTTGACCGTGTGGCGTGTATCCAGCCTGGACAGTTTGATCCAGAGTGTGGCTTGTATCCAGCCTGGACAGTTTGGTCCAGAGTGTGGCGTGTATCCAGCCTGGATAGTTTGGTCCAGATTGTGGCTCGCATCCAGCTTGAACAATTCGGTCCTGAGAGTGGACTATGGTTTTTCTCCGGCCGGGCACCAAGCTCGTGGTCTGACTATCTCAACCTATAAAGATACATGTGAGAAGCCGCAATAAAAAAATTGATCAGCATAATCATTCTATACTGCATCAGTAATACCTTTCTCAAACATTTCTCAATATAATCATATTATAATGCCCCAATAGTAAATTCCTTAACATAATCATACTATCTCCAACAATAATAAATTTCTCAATATCATATACACTAGTTGTCGTAAAACACTCTTGATAGATTGCTACAAAGTTCTCAGTTCCCTTGATATGTTTCCCAGTACAGGCTAATTCCTGTAGTGCAAGGGCCCATCGGTAGATGCGTACGTCGCCATAGATGGTCATCTTTCCTTAAAGGCGATCAAACTGAGTTCCCTTCTCGATAGCCGTTTTAACTACATTAATCATCTCCAGCCCGTAATCATCATACACAGCTTCTGTAAAAAAAAAGCAAAGAAAAATTAACATTGATTGAATAAATTATCTTAACAAAAAACTTACCAAGGACACTACCTTTGTAAGGATACGCCTCCAAATTTCGTGCTTTACCTCACTCTCATATGAGAGTCTTTAAGCAGGGAAACATTTCCTAACATATCACGCTGAGCTGTGGGACACACCCGTGATATGTGACCAACATCACCGGAGCAATAACACTTGAGATCATCTGACCGTCGATGTACATTTTCAGTACGCCAGTTGCACGCTCTACTGGTCCCATTGGGACAGTTTCGTTGTAAGTGGCCTGGCTTTCTACAGCTATAACAGGCGCCTGTATCTATATCCATACTGCACTCTTTGGCAATATGACCTTGTTCATTGCACTTGTAGCACCGATAAGGTCTTTTGTTGTTTCCATACATCACAACAGCTCTTTTATCTGACCTGTTTCTCCAAGGAAAACCGCTATTACTATTGCTATGACAATCCCTGGCATAGTGTCCATAACGTCCACATGTGAAACATTTACTGCTCAGGCTGACCTTCCTATCACCATGCATAGGCTGTACACCAGGGCAAGTGTGGTGTCCTGGAGATCGCGGTGTCGTGTTTAGCCAGGGTATCGTCTCTGCTGTCGAACTAGCAGCGACGTACGGAGGGGTTTGGTTTACTGGCCTCGTCACTCTAGCGTTTTGAGTGCTCTTATAGTTGTCAATAACTTTAAGATTATCTTCCACACTTACCTTGGCAGCACCATTCAGCCTCTCCAACAGATCACAAGTAACAACCGATTTTATCCGATCAACTATCAAAAGGTTCATCAAGTCCTCAAACGTTTCCTTTATTCCCGACTGCTGGACCCACGCTCTCAAAGCGGCTTCTGTGTTGACTGCGAAGCTTCTCATATCGTCGTGTGTTGGTACTAGCTGGTGGAATCTGACCCTATACTTTTCCTCGTTGAAACCTGCGTGCGTCAATAACTTTACCTTTACTGACTCGAAGTCATGATGCAAGTTCAGTCCCGTCTCAACGAGGAAAGTCTTCAGTTGTCCACTCATCTTGTCCGTCAGAAGGAGCGACCAGTCCTTGGGGTCAATGCCTTGTCTCTTTGCTTGACTCTCAAAATGCCTCACGTACGCACCCAGGTCCTCGTCTACCGTCATCGCCGCCACGTCCCTCAAGCGGGGTACAGGGTTACATACCTTTGCTACAACCTCGACCTTCGCATCTTCTACCCTCCTCAACTCTTCCTTTACCCACTCCGCCAAACTGTCATCGGTCAGCCCGATTAGCTTTCCCTCCTCCTTCAAGTCACTTATTAACTGTCTTCTGGCACTCCTGGTAGTCGCCATGCTAAAACGGACGAGCCCCCAAATGTTGGGTTCTAGAATCTAGGGGTATATAAATAACAGACAAATACGACGTATACAACAATAACACTAACACTCTATAATAACAATAATAATAAGATATTTAATAATATATACAGTACTAAAATAATAAAAGGATCAAAAGGGGTCTACAACATAAATACAATACTCAACACCACGTTCCACGTTCCACGTCCACAGCCACACTACAACTAACTGATTCACACACTGGCACACGCTCTGACACCCGTCACCTGACACACCTCACGTGAACACCTCTCGCTCCATGTAAACACACTCAACCAAGGGATACAACTATACACCAAAGGGAGGGTACCTGTCGTTCCAGCACGCAACACACACACACACACACAAGCAGGGGACATGTAAGGGACGTAACAGCATGTAGCCATCTTTATTTGTTAACCGGAAGAGGAACAATGATAGATAAATACAAGGGACATCACTCAACAACAACATTATAAATATAACTAATACAAGAAGAGTGAGTTCCCCTGACCTCACAAATCCCAATATGTTACATATTCCTTTAGAGATATAGTAATAAACCCTACCCCTTTCCATGTATATCATTATCAGTTGTAGTTCTTCATTTCTTCATTAACAACACTACTATTAATAACGTGGGTAATGTGACATTCTTACCTTCTAATATACAATGAACTCTGGTATCTCGCATATATTGCTGTACGGGGTAGTCCTTCAAATAACCATAGCCACCAAAAATTTGCATTGCATCATTACAAATCTGAAATTAGAAGTATTTTGACTGGTAAATTTGCAACTACAGATGCTACATTTAGTTTTAATGACAGAAAGCACACAAGTTGACCCAACCAATGGAAATCAACCACATGGAAGTTAAAAATCCTTGTTTCCTAAAATGCATTAGTCTTGGTTGCAACCATAATTTGTTTTTTGTGAGCTTTAGAAGACCAATCAAAGTTTGCAATAAATGTTTATTTTTTCAAAGATAAATCACAAGTAAAATATTACTTGGTGTGTCAGTTTATAGGAATTTTGATATCTGTTTTAAAATTTGTAAAGAAGCAGAAAGTTAACAAATAGGTCAATGCATTTTTAAAAACTTAAGCATACCTTGAAACATTCTTCTGTAGCAAAAAGCTTTGCCATGGAGCACAGTGCTACTGCACTGACATCTTTATTATCTAAAGCTTTAGCAGCGTTTCTAACTATCAACCGTGACGCCACTAGCTGCGTGGCCATTTCGGCTAGACGAAATTGCAAATACTGCAAAAATAAATGATTGGGAAAATTTTACCATCTTAAATTTTGAGAACTGTGTGCTGGTCGATTGTGTTATTAAAACAAATGACTCGCTTCACCAACTATAATCACATGAAAGTAAGTTAAACGCTAACCTGAAAACTGTCCAAAGTCTTGCCAAATTGTTTTCTCACTTTCATATGGTCACGGGCCTTTGATAAAGCTGAGTGGGCTGCACCTAGAGAACTTGATGCTAAAGGTAAACATTTTAATTAATCAGCTACATAAAAACAACTTGCTGATAAAATAATGAATTCAATAATTAAACTTGAAAAAAAAACTTTGATGCTAAAGGTAAATGAGGTGGATTGTAATGACTGACGAGAAGCCGCGTTGGTTGTTAACAGTCTTTATTATGTACAGACGCCATAATGCAAAGAGAGAGGAAGAGAGGGAGCAAGTGGCCAGAGACCACTATATATAGATAACAACATGTAAGGGACATCACTCAAGATAACAATATAAATATAATACTAATACAGAGAGTGAGTTCCCTTGACCTCACAATTATTTCAATCTATTACATCCCTTTACCCTTAGAACACAATAACACATCTCTCAATAGAACAATTGATAGTATCCTAAAATCACCAATTATATTGTAACATGAACACTATGGTAGATTACATCCTTGCAAACAATGCACAATATGCTACAACATAATCAAAATACAAAACAATGATGTCAAAGTCCTTTTGACCTTTAAAATCATAGGTCTAACTTATTTGGGACCTTGATTGTCCTGCTTGACCTTCTCAGTGGCTTTTGATTTGGTGACTCAAGATTCTGACCATCTGGATTCTCTATCTCAGGAGGTCTAGGATTTAAATCATTAACTCCAGAATTTACAATTTCTGACTCCAGACAACTTGGTTCACTCATATCAACAGAACTTGGTTGTGGAACAAACTGAGTTGGTGTGAACTGATCAGACTTGGTGGGATTGACAGATTCACACTTATTATCTGCACAAGTTATTTTTAACTTTATAAGACATAGGTCCTGTACATTGAACAATTTGACCTGGTATCCATTTTTCCTTTTTCCCATAATTTCTTAGATACACATTCTCATTAACACCAAATTCTCTTTCAATGAATGTTTGTCATGATTTAATTTTTTAATTGGCATCTGAAAGTATTATGCTATTATTCAGATCCTTAACTGGCATAGATTTCTTTGATTGATCAATTTCCTCAGGTAATCTGATAGTGCTTTTTCGTAACCAAACATACTGTTTAAAAGTAATATCCTGGACAATATCACTTTGCAACTGTGATCCAGTATTTGAAGTGGGTGTATTCAATGGCAAAAATCTTTGCTCTTTTCTTTTGATGTTACCCTTTTAGTTTCTGTAAGTGCTAATGATGTTAGCAAAGTTGTTTGATGATCACATTCCTTCTTACTAATGTATTCTCTTTAAAACATTTGAAATTGCCATATCACCATAATCATTTATTAAGTTACAAATACTTTATTTAGGCAACTCTGACTGATAATGGACTGCATCTTCTCCATCTTTTATATTATCTTCACAAAGGTTTTTATTTGTTATTTTATATGGCCTTAAGTCATCATTCACAGACTCTTCAGGCCAACCATTCTTACAGTACTCATATACTTTTATTAAGCACTCATCTTTTTGTGTTTCTCTTTTAATATCATTCACATTTATATTGGAGTTATCCATGATAGTGAAGAGAACAAATACATCTTCTGGTACATAGCTAAGGCTTTGGTTTTTTAAAGGTAATCTACTAAGACTATCTGCACTATTCTCAGATCCAGGTTTGTATTTCAATTTATAATTGTATGCAGTTAGTGTGATAGCCCATCTTTGAATTCTTGGTGAGGCATGCTCAGGTAGGGTTTTGTTTTCTCCAAATAAACCTAGCAATGGTTTATGATCTGTAAAGATGGTGAACTTCCTACCAAACAGAAACTTATGAAATTTCTTAACACCAAAATTGATGCCTAAGCCTTCCCTATCTAACTGAGAATAATTTTTCTCAGCCTGGTTCAAAGATCTACTGGCAAAAGCAATGGGTCTGTCACCCTTCTCATCCATGTGGGACAAGACTGCTCCTACACCATCTGGTGAAGCATCACATGTTAATATAAGTCTTTTCCCTGGGTCATAGTGAGTTAGTAAGGTGTCAGAAGACAAAGCCTCTTTTGCTGTATTAAAAGCAGTATCTTGTTGTTTACCCCAGTGCCAAGTTGCATTTTTCTGTAGCAGCTTGTACAGTGGTGATAGTTTACCAGACAGATTCCATATGAACTTTGCATAGTAATTTATCAAGCCCAAAAAAAAAAGCTCTTAGTTGTTTGGGTATTTTCAGGTTTGGGTGCTTCTTTAATGGCTTTTGTTTTCTCAGGTTGGGGTCTGATACATTGTTTGCTCAATATATAACCAAGAAAACTAATTTCTGTCAGCATGAATTGACATTTATCTTTGTTTATCTTTAACCCTTTTTCACCAACTATTTTCAATACTTTATCAAGTGTTTTAAGATGTTCAGTGTCATTCTTACCAGTTATGTACACATTGTCAAAATAGACACAAACATTTGGAATATCCTTAAAAATACTGTCCATGACAGCTTGGAAAATTCCAGGACTAGATGATATGCCAAAACATAGTCTTTCATATTGGTAGAGTCCTTTATGTGTGTTTATTGTCGTATAGACTTTTGAATCTGGATGCAGTTCTAGTTGAGTGTAAGCATGACTAAAGTCTAATTCAGTGAATTTGTCTCCTCCTGCCAAATTCAAAGAAATCTCCTCAATGTTAGGAATAGGGTATCTATTTAGCTCTATTTGCTTATTCAGTGTAGTTTTATAGTCTCCACAAATTCTTATAGAACCATCCTTCTTTAACACTGGCACAATGGGCGTTGCCCAATTGGAATAGTCTACCTTCTTTATGATGCCATTAGATTCCAATCTACTTAGCTCATTTTCAATCTTATTCCTCATTGCATAAGGTGGAACTCTAGCTTTGCAGTATCTTGGATTTGTGTCTTTAATGTAAGCCCTGCTAGGGGGGATACCTTAAAATCTATCTACCCTTCACCCTTCCCTAGGCTTATCTAACTAACTACTGTCCGGTCAGTGCAAGCCCGGCTAAACCCAGGCTGGTTAATAACCTAACCTTAGTCTAAATTAAAAACAAAAAAACTTTAACAATAATATAAAATTTATTTCACAAAATAATAAATATGGAACCAAAAGTTATTATAAAAAAAACCAGAATCTAGATCTAGACAAAATAAAACACTCAAGACATACAAAACAAACAGAACTCAACGAAACAAAACATTACGTTCGACCATTTGCTGGTGTTGCACCGACTTATGATGTCTAGGATGGTCCAGGCCCTGACACACAGAAACCTCCCTTCATCCATTCTCGACATCCAAAAGTCACACACCAAACAAAACACTACGTAAAACCACTACTTACAATACGTTACGTACAAAACAATACGTACACAACAAACTTTTTACACCAAACAAAACAATTTATATATAACAAAACACCCAGCCAAGTTGCACAAGCAACCTCACTGGAAGGGGGGGGGGGAAGAGAAAAAGAAAAGGAAAACATAAGAAAAATGCATGGTAATGGCAGATATATACATAAATATATACACAAGTTCAAAATGCTACCTACTACTACTATCTAGCTAAAGCCTCGAGTAAAACTAATCCCTACTATTCAATTCTAAAAGCAATTCTCAAAAACAACTAACCACTGTCTAAAGAAGAACTAGCAACTTAAAAATAACGTGTAAACAAATTCATCGTAGAACCAATCTTTCCTACACAAGGAAGCCCGAAGCCATTGGTCTACATAAACAATATCCATATTGATAACATTGACGTTAACACACTCCGCTAAGGCCCCAATGAAGGCAGACACAAAGCAAGCGATACTCAACATGACGTTGCACGAAACAGCACACACATTAATTTTAAACAACCTAAAACTCGAGGCAACTAAAATATACTAATCTAATTACTGTCTAAACAACTGACTATTGACTAAGCCAATCCTAGTCAATAACAACATCATAAAACAATCAGGTAAACGCACACACGCATTCACACCAGTTTAGGAAACACTCCTAAACACACTGGCCTAAACCACGTGGTCCGAAACACACGCCAAGGGTTTAGAAAACATCAAAAATACATTTTAATTCAAAATAACAGAATAACACACCACGTGCATACCAGACATGCCGATGCTCACTATCTCGTTTTAGACGAAAATGAAAGAAAACGAGAAACATCGTCAGTCGCATTCATACAAATCACATAAAGATAAAGTACAAAAAAACAAATACCTCCACGCGTGCGGTGCGCCACGCAGAAATCTGACCCGACCTACATCTCGCCGCGGGTCAAAAAAAAAGGAAGAAAATCACTCCGAGCGGTCAATTTATACTGACCGCTTCGAGCGGAAGGGGGACCCCGTGCTGTTCCCCATTGGACCACCATGCACTCCCAGATTCGCAACAAATAAAATAATACAAAAAAATCCATTCACCCGCTCACATTCACCCCTTTTAAAAATCTTACAGTCCCTGTAAGACAAAAAAATACATATAACAATCTTAAAATAAAACATGCACCCATCTCTTACACCAAGCCTATCAGCTTGAATGCAAGAAAAAAACAATTTCCATTAACATTAATCTTGCGTCTGTGCTCCCTAAAAAAACTCAAGGCACCAAGATAGTGTTCCCTTCACTGAGGGCTGATCCGCGCTACTAGTCCTGTCGGTCGTTCACCCAGAAGGACAAGGGGGGAGGGTCAGCCTAGACCCGCCCGCTACTAATGGCACACGTTGCCTGTCCATCCCGTCCACCTGGGTCCACTACACAACACACCGTGTACTGGTTCTGGCCTCATCGTAAGACCACCGGTAAAACGTCCTCTTAGTTGGTCCGGAGATGACGCAACCGCCTTGAACCACTGGCTCTCCGACTGTTACCCGCCCCAACGATCGTGCCTCCGCTTCGACACACCTGTGGGGCGGGTGTCCAGTAGCCCTCTTTGTGGGTCAAGGAATTGACCTCATTGGCCTCTCGTTGGTGGGGAGCGTCCGCTTGGTTGGGCCAAGTGGTGACGCAACCGCCTTGCCCCACTGGCTCTCCGACTGTTACCCGCCCCCAACGATCGTGCC